AGTAAACAAACATGCAATATTATTAGGTACTGCACTTAAAAATGCAAAACAATCTAAATTGGTTGAATGTATTTTAAATCACTGTGGGAATTGTTTTCCTTGACAGATTTCTCACATCAGAGGATAAGAAGAAGCTGGGCATCCAGAGGGACAATGAGGTTCTTCTGCAGAGACGTAAAGATCAGGTTCAGCCAGGCGGCGCCACGCTCAGCGTCACTGTACCCTACAGAGTGATCGACCAGCCGCTCAAACTGGCCCCACAGGACTGGTGAGCCTATGCGTTACAGCAATTTACCTGGGTTTATCCTCAGGCGTTTCTGATAATAGAGCTGTTCTACCAGTATTGGGTATAACTAATTACTAAGAAATTGTTTCTCAAGGCAGATCAAGTGATCAGACTGGTATAAACCAGTGGTTCTCAACATTTTGCATGTCTGATACGCTCAATTCAATTCAGTTCATGGAGTCTTTCCCGACGGGCTGATGATCTGAATCAGATGTGTTAAGGGAGATGAACAAAATGTGCAGAGCATTGGGTCCCAATGACTAGGGTTTTAAACCAAAAACTAGAACAATTTTGTTTTACTGGCCCCTCCCAAAGCCATAAACTCTCTCAGCTTGAATGTTTAAACTGATAAAAATAAAAATAAGTGAAAACGATCAACTTCAGTTCAGTTATGATGCAATGCTGCCCCGATTGTGCAAGTGCCAATTCCGTCATGTCCCGACTCCTAAACGCGAGAATGTAGTTTCAACGCTTGCTTTGTCCAACCCATTTTGAGAGACGGAGAATGAGAGAACACTCAAACACTCAAGTTTGTGAAGTTAGGTCTTGGAGAAAGTTTTAAAATTATTGATTTGATTTTATAATCTGTGTGGATTAATTTAGGCTACTCATGCAATCGACATGCTAAAGGGAATCAATGTTTGCGGAGGAATTTCCCGCTTTATAAATGGTAAACCTGCAGGAATTATTAAAATACTTATTGATGTATTATCAGTTATATTATTTTTTTTAGGGATGCACCGATATGAAAATTTTGGCCGATACCGATAACCGATAATTCTTTATGTTTGAAAGCCGATAACCGATATATCGGCCTTTTAGAGCCACAATTAAATCCATGTCCCAAGTGCACAATTATAATGATGTTCTCATTATAGTGTTGTATAGCCGATATGACAGATTTGCGTTGCACATGTTGTCCCGAACCAGATTTTCATTTTTTGAAGAGATTTCAATCATATTTCAAGAAATTCAAAAACATAAACAGTTCTCAACAAGTGTCTCAGCTGAAGGGAATAATACATTATTTATCGGTTTTAATATATCGGCCACGTTTTCTTACCAGGCCGATAACGATAACATTAAAAATGAACATAATATCTGCCGATATATCGTGCATCCCTAATTTTTTTTAATAGCTAAAGGGATATTTCACTTTGAAATTAATTTTTGATATGTTTTCACTTGGATCAAGGGCATCCAAGATGTAGGTGTCTGTTTCCACAGTATTTTCAATTTTGACATTTTTAGGTCAAACCGGTGTTGTCTGTCAGTCCTATAATGCAGGTTTATGGGGTCCGCCTCAAAGAGCATGCACAGAGAAGTCCAAATTAAACTTGATTTACACACTGATGGCCTAAGACACGAAACAAGCGGTTTGTGTGAAAACGAACAGTATTTATATAGTTTTTACCTCTTGTTAACAGCCATCGAATCAGATGTCCAACGTACGCCGGAAGTGATCTCTCGCACGTCTACGTCACACTTTGGTTACATGGAGATTTTGAAAGTTTTACCTTTTACTAAACATATTTAGATATAACGAAATCGTCTTCCATTGCGATTTCCCGTATATCTAAATATTGATTTTTTTTTTTTTATATATAATCAAGCAGCCCTAGTTAGTTGTACCATTCGTTTTACAAAAAAACATTCTGATTTTCACGGCACAGTAAATGGCCTCAAACGACATTTATTTTTTGAATTTCATGATAAAATGACACATTTTGTTCATGCATCAACTGAAAAATTGATTTTGGGATTTTAAGAATTGATTTTTTGAGACATTCTTGTTGTTTGTTCACAGGGATCGTGTAGTGGCCGTCTTCGTCCAGGGTCCTGCCTGGCAGTTTAAGGGCTGGCCGTGGCTACTGCCTGATGGATCTCCTGTGGACATATTTGCCAAAAGTGAGATTGGTCTACTCAAATTTCACACTTTGGCATAGCTCCTTGAAAGTGCTTGAATTAAACAAGAACTTTAAACATTGGTTTTTAAAAAAACTCTAATATTTAGTCACACCGTCTACTAACATTAAATTTAAGGGTCATATTTGTACTGTAGTAATGATAGACTCAAGTACAATGGCTCTTTGACACTTTTCAGATTAACAGTAACTATTGTGCTTGATATAAAATGAAAGGTGCTTTAGAAAGTCCTTGAAACTGGTGTTCATGACACCACATTGGTTATGTACCTAGAAAGAGTGTTTGATGTCGTGCTATTATTATAGTCCGAGCCTTTCACCTGAAGTACGATGAGGCACGGACGGACCCGAACGTACAGAAGTGGGACGTGACCGTGCTGGAGCTGAGCCACCACAAGCGACACTTGGACCGGCCTGTCTTCCTCCGCTTTTGGGAAACACTGGACAGGTCAGGATTGCAACTCTGTGTTCATCAATTGATGTTCTTTCACTTAAATTTAGCACAACACACAGAGGCGTGGCTTGTGACCAGTGTACTGTTGTCAACATTGTGTCAATGTCTTTGTTACATCTTGAACTGTTTGAAGCCATCAACTCTGAGCGGATCTTCTTTCTGTAAAAGCCTTTTGCAAGTTTACCCACACAGCTTGAAGGTGCTGTATGTATTTTTTAGCGGCCTCTATCGGTGATGTTTCAGATTGCAACCAATTTTTACAAGAGCGCTCGTGCTCTTGCACTTGAACACAATGGTACAGGCCACACTGAGACTTTCAAAACACCGGAGAAAGCATCACACAACATGCTGGAAACTCATGTAAACTCCCACTGCAACGGGACAATAATAGGACACTATCAGCTTGACGTTGAACTAATGCTCCATGCTCGTACCTTGATAACGTTACATTTGTGGTGTTATCTAGCATAAGGTTTTGGTGTATGCAAACATGTTACAGATGAGAATTGTTTGACCCTGTTTTAGATAATCTGGCTAATTTAATGTTTGAGAAATGAACAATTCATATTGTCCAGCTCAAATAATTCAATGGCTAATTATCCCCTACAGATACATGGTCAAACACAAGGCCCATCTGAGGTTCTGAGACTGCTGTCAGCTCCTCTTCCCTCCCTCCAGAGACCCGTCGAGATGGACTACTAGACCCCGGTTCCTCTCAGCCCTCCTGAAAGCACTTTGGATTTCCATCTGCTTCCCCTTCTGCTGACACCAGCATGATTTGTAGTCTCGTCCTCCACCTGGAGATGACCAGGTCAGGGTGAGCAAGAGGAAATTTGGATGTTTGGGTTGGTCCTTGTCATGTTTTCTCAGTAGATTTGTATTTTTCAATTGTAAAGCAGTTGGTAATCAAAGGCAGATTCAAAAGGAGATATTGATGCTTTTTTTTCTCCCCTCTTTTTTTGTAAAAACATGAGCTGGATAATGGAGAACCATTAAAAATGGTGACTCGCCGAGATGAATAAAATGACCGCTACGTCTAAAAGCTCTTGTAATAATCGATTCACTTTGTTTCTTTCTTTTTTTTTTTGTCCTTTTTCTGCCTTCTGTTCTATGAAGCGTAGAGTAGTGCATTGAAGTTCACTGCAGAAATGCAAATGGTAAATTTAAGTCTCTTAAATTCTTCTAAAAGACTCTAGAAGGCCTTGTGGTTTAGGGTGAGACGCCCTTGTTCAAAACCAATAATCAAAAATAGAATTATTAAAAGAATAAATATCCAGGATTGCTACGGTTATATAAAGTCTGTTCTTCAGATGGTTCATGGTCAATATGCTCTAATTCTGCAGTACGTTGGAACATTTTGGGAAAGTTTTACCCTGAAACCCAAGTACTGCTTGCATAAAATTGCTATTTTTGAAACGGAAAATTAAGTTGCTTCCATAAGGCAAAGTGGGTTATCTACAAGGGTACACTTTTTCTTTTCGTTTTTTTTTTTTTTTTTTTGATGGTTGGTTTTGTATAAATGCATTTAAAAGTAATGTTTGTTTTTAAACATTTCTGTTGAATGTGGATTATTATTAAATAATATTAAAAAAGTATAAACAAGTGGTGATGGATGTCTTTCCTCTGTTTCATTAGAGCCTGTAATAAGTTTGCAAACGGCAAGGCTTACACTGTCTCTACACTGGTTAAGGGTCTTATCTAGGACCCTTCGACTCGAAAAAAGATTTGTTCATTTTGATAAACGAGTTTGAAAAGGAGAGTCACGAATGCGCATCACAGAACAGAGCAAGGCGAGCATTTGTGCTTATAAAACTTAAACTTTTATATTTATTTTAGAAATCATTTTGTTAGATAAGACCCTTATTCATCGTCTGGTGTCGTTTAAAGCCCTTTGAAGCGGGACTGAAACTGTCTTTGGACCTTGAACCATTTGGTTCCCATTGAAGTCCATTATATGGAAAAAAAATTTTAACCTAAATTTCTTTAAAAAATTTAATTTCTTTTCAACTAGAAAGACGTGGACATCTTGGATGACATGGGGTTTTTTTTTAAAGTGAACTACTCCTTTAAGAGATCTTGGTTTTCTCTTTTATTTTTTAATTCGACTAGGTCATTCATAGCTATCAACTAAGTTAATAGTTTTCATTTTTTTTTTCCCGAGGGCTCCTAGCCCAAAATTACACTATAGACCCTAAGGAAACACTATGCAAAATGTGGTGCTTTTATCACCTCGTTTACAGTATCTTCACCACGCCACCGGACTATTAACCCTGATATTTGTTAGAGCTGCATGAGAAGTGTGGCAGAACCCAAATCTTCCGTACTGTCTGCGCATTTTAAAGAAATCAGCCTCATGTTGCATCCTGCTACTAGTCTTTCATTTAGTCTGTGTAGCTTCAACGAGGGAATGATGCGTGTCAGCAAAATGAACAACTGATACGCACAGCTCGTGGCTTCTTCAGCTCTTACACCGAACCTAATGTTCTCATTTAAAAGGCCTGAGCCTAAATGTGTTGTCGTCGTGATTGTTGCCTTTTTGAAATAATGAAAATGCAAGAATTTGCGTTTTTGGGGTGAAATATTCTTTTAATGAAGTGGTTGACATCCAGTTTACATTGGTAGATATTTTTTATAGTCTTTATGGGTTGATTACATCGTCATTAGGTCCTGTATTTTAAATGAGAAGTGAAGAAATGCAGATCATGCATTACTGCAGTCTATAATAGGAGAAGGATATGTTATGGATACGAGGCGGGAAACCAGCAGAAGCCTAATGTGACCTCCATCAATCTGAACAAATATGATAAAGCAAAAACGTGAATGAGATGTGTTATTCCGAGCCATGTGTAGATAATACATTAAAGGTTTGCAGATAGTCAGAAATGGATTTCAGATCTTAACTGTTGTGAGATCAGTGTAAATGAACAGCTCTTGTAAAAGTGGGATCTTTATTCAGAGCTGATTCCTCTCTATTATGTGTGTACCGCACCGGTTACAGTTGTCAGTACCGTTGAGCTCTAGTGAGATGGGATCTTTACGGATAATGTACCTGGAAAAGAGAGAAAAAAAACTACAGATTCATGTAAAAGATTCGATTCTGCTCATATTGCAACCTAAAACCAATAGAAGGAAATTATAGAAAATAAACTTAAACAAGAAATTGTGTAAAAAAAAATTAACTACAATGCATTTCAGACCTTTTTTTTATGAGTCATAAATAGGGTTGGGTATCGTTTGAATTTGAACGATTCTGATTCCGATTCCTTGTTTCGATTCCGGTTCCTAACGATTCTCGATTCCGATTCTTTTAAGAGGCAGGGTCAAAAAAGTTTAGCTAACCTTCCTAACCAACGGTCTTTCTGAAGGAAATACTCCTTTTGTCACAAATTTTGCATTTTGCCGAGATTTTGTTATTTTTAGAAAAGTGAAGCCACACTTTGGACCGCCGACGTAAGCTACTCGTGTTCGACTCGCGCGGTTATGCCAACACTTCCGGTAGACGCTTCTTCGTTGGTGTTGTTCAGCGGTTTCTTCTTCCGCTCGGCGGACTGTGAATATCGAAACTAGGAATCGAAATTTTAACTTTTGAACGATTCCGGGAATAACGAAAAGTTAGTCCCGGTTCCAATCGATACTCGATTCTCGATACCCAACCCTAGTCATAAATGGTATTAACCCCATCGACGGGTAGGTTTAGGGACGGGGTTTGGGTAACGTTAGGTTATATATTTATGTATACAGTAATGTAATGTTGAGTCAGCGGCGTTCATAATTGGCATGTCACACGCCATTTCATGAGATCAGTCTGAATATACATATATTTTAATAAAAAATGTTACAATGCAAAGTAACTTCTAAAACATACACAAGCCCATAAAAAATAAAAACGTTTCTTTTAGCAAATCATAAGTTCTTCTTCCCTAGAAAGTACAAAAGGTTTAGCTTCACTTACACAATGTCATTGAGCTCCAGCTGTGTATCTGGTGACGGGTTGATTAAGGCATAAGAGTTGCTATTCTGGTTAATAGTCAGCTCATCTGGATTGAGAAACAAATGTTAACAGAGTTAAAAGTCATTTCATTTTTCTGCACATAATTTCACTGGAAAATACGACTCGTAAGATGGTGTCTCACCGAAGTTGGTGTCTGTTGTCTCACCGAATCCCCTCGTGGAGAGCCCCAGGTTTTTCATGCGCTTCTTGACCAGCTCAGTAAGCTCCTGTCTCTCCGAGCATGAGGGCATGATGTCCCGCCGCTGGCTCGGTCTGTCCGCGTCCCGCTCCGCGTGCCATGGCCCCAGAAGATTCGAAGCCCACTGCAGGCTCTTTCGGTGCAGAGACTGATTGTGTGCATTGCTGTCTGGGGATTCATGCTGAAGATCCTGAGGTTGCTCCTCCTCTTCAAAGACTGACATTTTGTCTGACGTTGGGGATTGAGGAGACTAGAAGAAAGAAAGAGACTGATTGCTTTAAAATGGGAAGCAAAAAAGTCGTTATTGCGTGTTTTTCGCTTTTCAAAAGAAATATCATTTTTTTAAATATATATATATATATACTGTATATATATATATATATATATATATATATATATATATATATATATATATATATAATGTATGAGAATTTAAAAAAAAAACTAAACAAATACCAACATTTGGTCCTGAGCCAGCCCCTAAAAAGTTTCCATGCTGTTTAATATTGTTGTGGAAACCATAATACATTATTTTTCTTTGATGAATAGAAAGTTCAAAAGAATTTGAAATTTGCCTTTATTTGAAATATAACTCTTTAGAAGCCTTAACTGTCACTTTAGATCTCTGCCATAATAATTAATAAAGGCTGGTTTCTAAAGTACTTCTTCCTGCATTAATGTTCATGGGTAGCCAAAATGGGTTCCATTCAGACCTTAACATTAAGTCTTTTACTGTTACATTTTCACCTGCTATACCCAATGTTTAGATCTGTTTGGGTAATTATGCAAATTAGCACATATGTAATTATATTATGCACCGTTTGTCCATGTTAACAAACAATTGCAAAAAACTTGTTATACATTTTTATTTTGTCTTGATGTAAGTAATCAACTCAGTGATTTTCATGATGATATCTAAAAGTTAAAATTTTTACCCTTTTCACGTAAGAAAAAGAATGAATATGCGTATGAATGGGATATATTTGGGTCTTTTTCGAAACTTCGCCCTAATGGGATTCTTCTGGGCTTTTTTTTTTTCCTTACTCATGACATATTGAGGATACAAAATCAGTTGAGTTTGCTTCTGTTGCAATTTGTTCAAGGTTGACCCCCAATTTTGGCTTAAAATGACTGGACTACCTGTGCAATAAATGGTTTTAAAGGGTGCACAACTGAGTAAGTTTTGCAGTGAACATAATGAAACCTCAGGAGGTTGAACTTTCTGAGACTTTGTCCTGTAGATGCCGATGGGAATGTCTCCTACAGTGGAGGACAGCACTTGGTACAGTGTGCCGTACGTCTGGATGCACAAGTCATCCTCTTTGATGCTCAACTGAAATGTAATATACCGTATTTTAATATACCGCTGAAACAACAAAAATAATAGCATTGAACAGAATGAGGATATGTGGACTGGCTAATGTTGTAAAAGTCACACTTACGGCGCACAGGAAACCAGATTTTGGTGTAGTTTCCAGTCCAAGCAGTAGTCTGGTGATGGTTATCATATAATCCTTAACAAAACTCTGAAACAAAAGAAGCACTTATAACACAATTTTGGACAAATTTGAAGGTCTGAACATTTACAATTTCCAGCAGCATCAAGCCTGTAATATTGTGAAATGTTATTACAATTTAAAATAGCTGTTGTTTTATTATATATTTTAAAATGTAGTTTATTCCTGTGATGCAAAGCTGAGTTTTCCGAATCATTACGCCAATCTTCAGTGTCACATGATCCTTCAGAAATCATTTTGATGATTTGCTTCTCTAGAAACTTTCATTATTATCATCAATGTTGAAAACAGTTTTGCTGCTTAAAGGAAAATTAAATACTATAGAAGTCAATGGGGTCCATCAAGTGTTTGGCTATGGACATTCTTCAAAACATCTTCTTTTGTGTTCAGCAGAAGAAATAAACTCATACAGATTTGGAACAACTTGAGGGCGAGTAGCCTAAATGATGACAGAATTTTCATTTAGAAGTGAACTACTCGGAAACCATGATGAGGGAAAGTTGAAAATAAAACAGAACTAGACATTTCTATTGAAAAGTAAATCCTTGCTTAATAAACGTATTTAATCTTTTAAAAACATTATACTAACCCCAACATTTTGAACAGTAATATAGATACATTGGTGTTCAGCTAATGAAGATTTTTATATCGCCATGTTGCCATCTAGTGGGCATTAGTAGATAGTGTAATATTTGATTGTGGGGGCTTTAATCTAAAGATAACTTTAGGAATATATCATATAAACCCTTGGACACGGACAAGCTCTTTTCTCACTTTTTAATAACTCCTTTTACTTCCGCTCTCCTCGCTCTGTACCCCCGTCATAATAAAAGTCCCTCCAACAACATCCACTTTAACACAATATACTGATGAATTAACAGTGAAATATTCAAATATAACATCAGGATTAATCTTTTTTTCAATATAATGTGCTACATTTAAGTCTTACAATAGTATGATTTCAGGCCAATGGGCAGTTAGTTACCTGGTAGAGGAGTGTGTCGAGCATGCTAATGCTGAACACCTTACCAGCTGCAAAAGGCAGGCGAAATATGAAGGATAAGTTTGAGCCTTTCTCTTTTTCTTTCTGCTCCATATAGCCATGCAGATAAACATGGAAAAGAAGGGTTAGGACCAAACAGATTTATCAAGCCAAAATCAATATTTGTATGAGTGACAAAAGCATGTTCTGAATTTCTGCTCACCTTCTCCAGTTTGGAGAATTCCAGTGAGTGACAGTCCTTTGCGCAGAACTGCATGAATCTCATGTTAGCGGGATGAGTTAACTCTGTGATGATGTTGAGACCAGAGAACAGCCTACAAACAAGTCATTTACAGGAGACTGGTGACTATTTCAATGACTTTACAAGACCTTCAGTGCCCTTGTGAAAAAGAAGTGTGCTTAAATGTATTAAATATGCACTTATAGTGTACTTAAATCTTAAACGTATTTTAAAAAGCACATATATGTATAATATTAGTGTAATAAAAGGTCACAAATGTACTTAAAGAGAGTACACTTTCATGACTATGTTGGGTACTTTCCTGTTATCCGGACCCCACGATGGCCTACCCCTAACCCCGCCCCTAAATCTACCCGTCACTGGGGTTAAGACCAATCAGGGATGATGGCCTACCCCTAACCCCGCCCCTAAACCTACCCGTCACTGGGGTTAAGACCAATCAGGGATGACTTTAGTTCCTAAATGGTATATGGTGGGATCCGGACCCCACGATGGCCTACCCCTAACCCCGCCCCTAAACCTACCCGTCACTTGGGTTAAGACCAATCAGGGATGACTATAGTTCCTAAATGGTATATGGTGGGGTCCGGATAACAGGAAAGTACCCTATGTTGCTTAACATACTTAAGTACACTTTAAAAAAAACAAACATTTTCTAATAGTCAAATTTAAAGTTTTAAATCATGTTCAGTAATCTTTCGTCATTCTTTTGACGTATATATATCTATATCTATGAGTCCGTAGATATATATGCGCCAAAAATCTTAAACAGTCTCTTACCTGAACAGGGTCTGGACATTAACAATGGTTTTTGCATCAGCCATATAGTCTTCCTTAGCGCTCATGGTGCTCTCCCTATCAACAACCACCATATTGGCAGCAAATGAGACACCACTACGCAACAGGTCATCCAGGCTGTAGAGAGATACACACACAGACAGATCGATTTTAGTAAGACATTTGGCAATGTTTGATGCAACTTGAAATAATAATGTTGTCATAGACTTATTTGAGTTTTGTATTTAGCTAATAGAGCTTCCGTCAACTCAAATTGAGTTAGGAAAATTTGCAAAAGCGTGTGTATTTAAACAAAACAAGGCTGTAAATGTAGACAAGAGGTGGGCATGACTGACTCCAACAACCTCTGTAGGTACATTTTGCCATTTGTTAACAAGTTAAAGCTACACTGTGTAAATCTTTTAGTTTATTCTTAGCTAAAAACACTTGGTTCTTTCAAAAATATATGTGCTCATTAATGTATATTTACTTCGTTCAAGTAATAAAGTATTCTCATGAGTGTATAATATGCCATTGAAAATACATACGGGTAAGGGGATCTAATGTCGGTAGCCATGTTGCCCCTCCATCTTGAAAGTACATTAGCCAAAGAGGGACATACCCGTTAATTCAAGCTTCGCCATTCGCGTTTACGTTTGAGTTAACACTCATGGACGAGGTCGAACTGGAAGCCATGTTAATCTTGGACTACATTGGCCACCGTAGGAGTTAAAACCAAATCGGAATTGAGAGGAACAGAAACTAATATTCACTGGATGGTCATATACCTTTTTACCACTAGATGGGGGTAAAAATCACACAGTGTAGCTTTAAGTAAAAGATTTATAATTACAAGGGGGTATTACTAATGTTGTAGAATAAAACATGAAAAACTTGAGTTTGTGAGCACCACAGACCTTACTTCAGGCATTTAACCTAAAACCCATTCAAAAAAACATTGACTTCAGTACGATGGGATCATTAGCTCAAAATATGAATCTGTTTCCAGGGTTTTAGACAGCACATATTCTCAATCTATTCTCAAAAAGTGGATGAGGTTGGTTTTACATAATGGTTTTATGTTATCTCAATGTACAGTAGCAGGCTTATCTCCTTCCTATCCTAAAAAAAAAGATTATTTGAGAGCAGGTTACAAACAAACTAACATTATAATGTTTCATAATAATGTCTCTTGCCTGTCGATTGACCCAAGCAAGTAATAGATCATTGGGAACCAACAGACAGTCTCAAGAAGATCTTCATCTGGCCTAAAAGACAGACAGGCCACACAGAAACAACATAAAGCAGACATCTGTAGTCATTATAACTCATTGGCAACTGAAGAGAGTGATGTGTAAAATAAGGATTTTTACTCTTTTTCCAAGAGCAGCACGATGGGCCACAGTTCATTCTGTGGTCTGTATGAGGCTCGTAACGGGAGGATGAAGTTGTACAGATTATTTCCTGCTGTCTCAGCGGACACAATGATGAGCTTATCCTTCAAACCGTACGCTCTGACATCATCATCGTCTTTGTGGTTGCAGGTCTTAGACAAAAACTGACATAACAATAATGTCAAATTACAATTCAACATTAAACCAGTGATCCCCAGGTCATACACTGAATACTTAAAGCATATTCATAGCATACACTACCCAAAAAAAAAAAAAAACATTTTTAATGTTATTGAAGGAAGTCACATATGCTCACCAATGACGCATTTATTTAATTAAAAATACAGTAAAAACAAAACTGTATTCTATTTGAATATATTTTCAAATGTAATTTATTCCTGTGAGGCAAAGCTGAATTTTAAGCATCATTAGTCGTTATTGTCACATGATCTTTCAGAAATCATTCTAATATGATGTGATTGTGATGTGAATATGATTTCTTATTATTATCATCAATGTTGAAAACAGTTTTTCTTCATTTTTGCTGTAACAAAAAAATGCTGTAATGTTTTTTCTTGATTTTTTGACGAAAAGGAAGTTCAAAAGAACAGCATTTATTTGAAATAGAATTATTTTGTAACAATTTTAAAGTATTTACTCTGTAACTTTTAAACTTAATGAATCCTGAACAAAAGTATTCAATTCTTTCAACAACAACACAAAAATCGTACTGCCCCTAAACTTTTGAACCGAAGTGTATTTCTGCAACAATTTTAGATTTTTTTTTTCTGTGCAACATAATTACCAAAGACAGGCTAAATTCACTTTAAACTCAAATAACTGAGGGAACACATACATACAGTATGTTAATGCATATATATATATATATATAAACTGTTGTTCATCGTACTGTCCAACAAAATGTAATAAAGACATTTATTACCTTTTCCAGCCGCATACAGCATTTGGGCGTTTTCTCTTTCCGTAAATGGCAAAGTATGAGTGAGCTTCCGATGTAGGGTAAATTTGGGGGATATCCCTTAATGTAACTAAAAATAAAAAACATAAAGTTCAGGAAATCTTGTTCTCATAGCAGCTATCTTCTTGACATTATTCAATGTTTCTGTCATGACATTTAATCAAACTAAAACCAACGGTTACACTTTATTTTAAGGTGACGTAGTTACTCAAAAAAAAAAGTACTGAGTAATATTGATTGATCCACATGCACTTATTATAGGGTTACGGACGGTAAGGGTTAAGTTTTTGGTTTAGGGTTAGTTACTTGTAAGTGTGCATAACTGGTAATACTTTACTTGAAGGGGTGTGCATAAGACTGACATGACACGTCATGAATATGAAGGAGGTTTTATGCATGTTTATGACAACTGTCATTAAGTGTCATTGGCTCAATTATGACATCCCCTTCAAGTAAAGTGTTCCCGCATAACTTACTGTTATGTATTCACCTTTGAATAAAGTGTTACCAAAACAACTTTTGTAAACAGAGGATTATCTCTCTCAGGAAAAGAACAAATTACCCATCGCTACATTCATCTTCAGTGAAGGGCTGACATGGACTCTTTGACTGATCGCTGAGTAGATTGCCAGTCTGAAAGGAAGGCGAATCAGGCACTTCTAGAACAGGAACCACGTTTGTTCTTCTGGTCTCAGATATATTTGTTTCAGTTGAAAGAGATGGACCTAAACTGGATGGGATGCTTATTTCCTGCACATCTATGGCCATGGTACCTGTAGGAAATATAAACAAAAACCTTTAGGCAAAAATCGGGAATGACGTTGCATTATCTTTTATAGAAAAACTGTAATTTTATGGTGAACTTAACACACAGTACATACGGCATCTGTTCCAAAGTTATAGTAAAATTCTGGTAACTTTAAAATGAGGTTCCATTGAGTTAATGAATTAAAGGAGTAGTTCACTTTTAAAAAAAAACTTTTGCTGATAATTGACTCACTCCCATGTCATCCAAGATGTCCATGTCATTCTTTCTTCAGTTGAAAAGAAATTAAGGTTTTTGATGAAAACATTCCAGGATTTTTCTCCATATAATGGACTTTACTGGGCACCAAACGGTTCAAAGTCCAAAAGACAGTTTCAGTGCAAACTGCAAACTCTTCAAAGGGCTTTAAACGATTTCAGACGATGAATAAGGGTCTTATCAAGTGAAACGATCGCTCATTTAAAAAAGAAATAATAAAGTTTAAGTTTTATAAGCTCAAATGATCGCCTTGCTCTGTTCTGTGATGCGCGTTCGTGACTCTCCTGTTCGAACTCGTTTATCAAAATGAACAAATCTTTTTTTGTGTCATTTGGTTCATTCAACGAACTAAATGAACGAATTGTCTCAGAAAAAGATTCGTTCATTTTGATAAACGAGTTTGAACAGGAATCGTTTAAAGCCCTTTGAACAGTTTGAAGTTTGCACTGAAACTGTCTTTTGGACCTTGAACCGTTTGGTGCCCAGTAAAGTGCATTATATGGAGAAAATCCTGGAATGTTTTCATCAAAAAACTTAATTTCTTTTCGACTGAAGAAAGAAAGACATGGACATCTTGGATGACATGGGGTTGAGTAAATTATCAGCAAAAGTTTTTTTTTTAAAGCGAACTACTCCTTTAACTAGCATCATTAAGTAACAATGAGCAATACATTTGTTACACTATTACTATTTATTAGTCTTAGTTAATGTTATTTAATAAAAATACAACTGTTCATTGTTAGTTCAATTTAGCTCAGGTCTATTAAATAATATTAACTGATAAAACTTTTGTTTGTAGTAATGAATTAGTAAATGTTCACATTAACAACATCAATAAATGCATTACAAATATTTTTCATTGTTAATATGTTAACTAATGTTAAATAGAACCTTATTGTAAAGTGTTGCCAAAATTCTTTTGGTTTCAAAACGATTATTTTATTCAGTAAAAAATCCTAAAAATATATGAATTCATATTCATTAAAATAATTATATATGATAATACTACATTTGACCAAAGAAATGAGAGACTTCTTTTTTTATAAACACAAAAATATTTTGACAGACCCCAAACTTTTAAATGTAGTGAATGGCACTGCTGTGACATTTACAGTATCTCAGTTTGAATTATTATCAGATGTATTTATCTGACCCATGCTAGTAATGGCACTGTTTGTTGGAGGTTGAGTCTTGAGGCTGTTTTTACACGATGCCTGGGTCTTGAAGCAAGATTCCTCCTCTTTGTTGAGACTGATGTAGAAGCACACGTCCAAGGCTTTCATGATGTGTTGAGGACCAGGGTTCAGCAGGATACTCGTAGTGTCCTCAGGGCACACTCCAATAAGACAGATGCCATACCTAGAAATGAGAGCGATATTTACACAAATATTTATTATTTATTAAAAAGTACTCCTATAAGAAATGTGACATGAATTGAAGGTCCAGAGGTGAGAATTGCCATTTTTGTGGAATAAAATGCCATTTTGTCTGTACTGATATTTATTGCATTTCTCAAATACTGTATGCTTATTCCACATACTCACGTATTATACGCATTGAAGGAGGCATAAGGGAAGCTCTTTCCCTCATACTCCGAAAAGAAGACGCTTTCTTTCAGAACAATGCTGTACACTTCATTTCCGGAGCATTTTCCATAAACTCTGTGCCAGTCCTGAGGAGAGTGTTGACCTTCTCTACAGTTACATACATCACATCATATCATATAGAAGTATGATTTTGGGGGTGAGTAAATAACAAAATCTACCTTTAAAGTCACCATGAAATCAAAATTGACTATTCTTGTTTAATTTTTTTAATGAAATATTGTGGTAATTACTATAAAGTATTTGTTAATGCACCTTCTAATTTCTAAAATATGAATGTACCATCGGAATATTTAATCACAATAAAATCCCCACTCTCATGCAGCTCGTCTCTTCTCTGATGATGCGTTTACTGGTGTGAGAGTGGGATAACCTGTCACTCACATGACATAGCAAACCACAACCATCCAACAATCTAAACAATTTCATTTAACTCGAATATAGTTCACAATACGGAAGGAAAGAATATTGAAACTCCCGTTTCATGCTGACTTTAAGGGTTTTTGATATAACATCAGGGTGGTGTACCCACAGGCCTTGTGAGGTGTGCACCAGCAGGGTGATGAAGGTGGACGTGGCAGGACAGATGCAGTTCAGGGCCAGCATGGCATATTTAAACTCTTCCTCACAAACAATGTGATCTGAAAGGGAACGTCACAGCACAATTCACCTTTGGCTAAGCCCCGCCCCCCTTAGTTACTGTTGCTACTTCCGTCAAACTTCATCTGAGCTCTGGTTTGGTATCAACATGGCTTATGCTGTGACAGCTCTTCCTGCTGAAATGTTATCAAACTTTTATAAAGCAGCAAATAAAGTGTACGATAGAGGCAAAGGGGGCTGCAAGATGCATTCGAATGCTATATTCAAGACATAGCTACAGGTGAAACGCAAGAAACAACAAGGCATCCAAATAGAGGCAAAAGCATAACGTCAAAAAATGAGCCACCATCCTACTAATCGAGACGGAGGCTGGGACTAACAATATCAGGGAGCAACACTGTTCATGCAAAGCTGGGTAACGTTAGGTCTCTATTCACTTCTATAATCGTTATTACAAAGCAAACGGAGTACACGAGTATAACGTTGTATTTATTAGCAGCGTGTGCTAGCGTATCAACAACCGGTGTGAGAACAGAAATCATAACCTAAAACATTATAAAACGGTCTAACTAGTATAACTTCACGGTAAGGTTAGAAGCAAAAAACATGTGCTTGTTGATCTTTGAGGGGTTTACGTTAGCTGACTGAGGACGTCCATACAGTTTAGCTAATCCAAAGACGACACTTGTCAGGATTTGACTTCGGTTTGGGAAAGGAAAAACGGACATCCCCCTCCAACCTCTCTGGGAAACGAATCTGTTACAAATGCCCCAGGCACAACGTTTATCCATATTTTTGATAATAAAACTACGACGGTAATAGCCTGCCGAGACCAAAAATATGAGACGCCTGTGTTGAAAGTCAATGGAAAAGAGTCGGACCTCTGTGTGCGCCGTGATTGGTCAATCTACATTCTAGGGCGTGGCTTAGCCAAAGGCGAATTGTGTTGGGAAGTTATGAGTTACAGTTTCCTGGCTATTTCTCTGCATTTAGTCATTGTTTGAATTAATTAAGAAATGAATTGAGACAGATTTAACAATACCTGCAAATTTCACATGAAATTTGTTTTCTGGTTTGAGAATCTGAACAAAAAGAGTACAGCTTGGAGCAAAGTCCTTTACTGCCCAAGCCCTCAGGATGGTCTGGTAATCCTTAAAAAAAACATTCAAGGTGAAATATTCATAGTTATTACATAAACAAAGCTCTGCAAATTATTTTACTTTTTGAACCTCAAGAATACGTACTGCTGCATTACGATCAGCCTTACAGCGACAGGTCAGAATGAAACAAGCCTCAGCATTATCAAGCCTGTATAGAAAGAGAATGTATCTTGAAAAGCGTAAACCTCTCTAAATGTAGTTATATTTAAGCTTTATATTAAATGCTTTTGTCATGTGCAGGCTTAGGAAGATGAAGTAGAGAGGGGTGGATCAAATTGTAGCAATTTTAAGGAATCAGATGACCAGGTTGTGCTTTCCTAGTTCCTACTGACTTACCACCTACTACTGATGATGATTAAGCACTTTTTAGCAAAACTGTAGCATTTTGATTCTGTTCCATGAATATGTGATTCCCAGTGAAAATTTGATTTCACAAGGGTCAGGTTTGAAATAGCTTGCAGTTTGCTAACTCAACAAAATCTTTAAAGATATAATTTATTGCCCTTTTTAATAGAAAAACTTGTGGCTTATGTGGCTTATACTTATGGCAGCAGTTTTACAGCTGAAACACAATTTAGATGTGGGATGTTTGAAACAGGACCAAGATAATGCAACAGATAAATATAAGCCTTCTTGAACTCACTTTGCTCTGGCCAAATCTTGGTTTTTGAGAGCAGAGCCCTGCAGATAAATGACTCTATGTGACCACATTGGGATCCGCAGTACCCGTCTCACCGACGCATCCATCTCTGTTGGGCAAAGGATGATGACATAGTACTCCTGGAAGACATCAAATTATTATTTATTATTATAGCTCTCTATACAAATTCATGCAGTGATATTTGTGTATATTTTAAATGACAGACCAGGTTTGAATGTTTTGTTAATGGCCTTTATTCAAGCAAAATAAAAGGCTGATAACTTGTGATTAAGAAGATTGAAGACAAGAAGTAAAGCCCGAGGGCCTCTAATTGCCTTAATGATGATGAGTCCATTAGTAGTCAATGAACAATAAACTGGGTTAAGAGAATGTATTTTAACATAAAAACATACACATGCTTAAATGTTAGTTGTCCAATAACTACAATACATCTTAAAGTTAAAATGTAAGTGAAAAAGTGACCCTTTGAACTGTTGATGAATTGAATAAATGAAGCAAACTGAAAGTATTTATACGCATATAAAGCCTACTGTATGTCAGGTCCATAATGTCAGAAAGAACAGTGACAAATAACAATTAAAGACTCACTGAAGTGTCTTGGAACAAAGCTTTGGCCTGCAAAGCTTTATATTAATTGATAGCATAGGTGACGGGACGCTTTAGATTCTAAAGAGCATTTGATTGGACAGAAGATGTGATGAGAAGTGCAGAGTGATGTCATAAAAATCCAGATGGTCCTCACTACAGACCATCAAATCCACGGGGAGGAGTCGGATCCAGATCCAACTCCTCCCATCTTACATATACCTAAACCTGACCCCTGATCCCTAAGCCCACCCCTAAAACTACCCAGCTCCACCCCCTGATCCCTAAACCCACCCCTAAACCTACCCAGCTCCACCCCCTGATCCCTAAGCCCACCCCTAAAACTACCCAACTCCACCCCCTGATCCCTAAACCTACCCAACTCCACCCCTCAAATCTGGATCCAACTCCGCCCCCTGGATCTCGTGGGGATGCAATGAGGTCCTACTGTAAAAATCCATGATCAATTTTAGCGGAAGTGAGAGACTAAGTTTTGAATGCTTATATATCCCAAATGCGAATTTTGTTATTGTTTTGGAAAATACCAAGCCTGGGAAAACCCAGACAACTTCCAGGAAAATGTAGATTTGCTCTGAAAGTTAGTCTGGCAAAGAGCTCATTCAAGCCCATTTCCAATCCGTCGAAATCGCGGCACCAATCAAAAACGTTGGGGCGGGCTTTACACGATGACGACTGCGCTGGGAATTTGAAGCATATTTTGTAGCCCACATTACAAAGATGGATGCCGCCGTCGAACATCACTCGTTCGAATCAGCTATCGCGTCTGTTTTAAGCAATTTGAACGTTTCCTTTTTGTTAAAAACCGAGCAAAGAACAACACTCTGAGATGTTTCTTCGTCGGCCGCCGCTCTGCATACGATTGGTTTTAGGTCTACCCGTAACGTCCGTTGGTGACGCCCCTCTGGAAATGATTTGTGTATGACGTTTTGCCAGACCATAACTCAGTTACAACTGAGAAAAGTCTGGTTTTAACCAGGCTAGAACACACCTTATTCATAACCTTAACTAAAAAACGTACATTTCAAGAGGCCTTTAAGTATTTGAATAGCTGGCAAAAAGACCATCCACTGGAACTGAGTGTTACCTTTGAATAATTCTGTTTAATCATTTGTTTTTGATGAACTGTACCTGAAGTGTGGGATGGGCATAAAATTCATTTAAGAAATCCATCAGCAGGTCGATTTTGATTGAACTGACGCACAGCACCACGTGTCTCTCGGTTTCTGCTCTCTGCTTGCTGTAATCTCCTCCTGATTTCTGCCGCTCCATCCACAAGTAGGCTAGATCCTCAATCTAGTGTCATCACACCACGAAGAAAGCACCATAATGCATTCCATTATCTCTCATTTTTAAATGACATTTCCTGTAGATTATTGCTCTAATATGTACCCCATGAGATCTGGAAATTGTAAAGTGCATTAATATAGTGAAGCCTTTTGTGAGGACTGCCCTATTTCATCCCAATTTCAAAGAAATCATGAGATTCATTGTTATTATTTTATAATATTAGGAGCACTAGATTTTAACAGTAAGAAATTGTTGTTTTATAATATTTTAACAACTTGTTTTAGTACAATGACAAGATAAATGCCAATTATTAAAGTATAGAAATAGTAACTTTTTAAAATATTGTCTAGTTTTTATAATACCACACTTTTATAATATCAATATCCACTTTATTTTTTGAGTTTGTGATAAAGGTATAAATTAAAATAATGATAACAAATGAAGTTTGCAATGAAAATCAGCTGTTTTAGTACAAATAAAATAACTTTTTCTTTTTATTTATGTTAAAAATAAGGTGGTTAAATGTGTTTTTATCCAGTAAAAGTATATTTACAGTTTCTGCTATTACCATGCGAAGAAAGAGGATCAAGAAATTGACAAATTGACAAATAATCAGAGGAGTATGCGTATTTGGCGTGCTGTCCGAGGGGAGGGCTCCATTTCATTTGTTTATGAAAGCATCATCTTAAAGTATAGTATCAAAGGCAAGCTTACCTGTATAGGCAAGACCATTAAAGCGACAATTATCATAATAACCACCAGCAACTTGGTGGGCCAGATATCAGGAACAACATCTCCAAACCCCACTGTAGAGAAGGTCACGATGCAGAAGTAGAATGAGTCAAAAACTGAGAGTTTGTTTCCAGCACGCTGCAAATGCTCAACTCCCCAAATGCTGGAGAGATGGAAAAGTTTTAAAACAAATCCAACAAAAAGTAAATGAAACAAAGGAGTCAATGTTAAGTTTGCAGAAAACTGTTTACTACAGTAATATATGTATTAATATACATGAATTATTGTCAAACTATTAATATATACTCACTAGCCACATTATTAGGTACAACTGTTCAACTTCTCATTAACATAAATATCTAATCAACCAATCGCATAGCAGCAAATCAATGCATTTAGGCATGTAGATGTGGATGTAGATACCTTTCTCCACTTATATAATCCACTTGAAGGATTAAATGAAAATGAATGAGTAAATTCGGACACTGAGTGCCCCGGAAGGGCTGCTGCTTTTGCATAATTTGTGCTTGCCGTTTAAAAATCATATGAAACTTAGCAAACTAGCAATAAAAAAGAAGAATATTTATCTTGAACCCTGTCATGGAAACTAGCATGTATAAACTTTAGACCAGGGGTGCCCAACCCTGCTCCTGCCGATCGACTGTCCTGCACAGTTTATCTCCAACACTAATAATTCACGGTTATTCATGAGCATTACAAAAAGACAAAATCCGCAAAAGTTGATTCTTTTTTGAACAGCATGACCATGTTGCATCTTACATGCATAATACACCAAAAACAATATTTTTGAGCAAATGCCTTATTGAAGGATGTGGAATACGCAAGCTCAATTTCCAAGTAAAACCACCACATATTGACTAATGTGGCAAATGGTCATGAAGTAATGGGATCAGGAAATGACAGAGAACTCATCTTTTGCTCAGACTCTGTCTGCATTAGCTCTCCAAATGACACCAAGTCTATGAGCAAACAGCTTGTAAAGAAAAAAAACCTCCCCTAAAAGCGTTGCGATGCACCTAGGGACTGTAATGGTGATCATGTAGTGCTGTCTGTCATTTTCCAATCATGACTTGACCACAGACCAATTAGTATATTGATTTAGTTCTGAGACAAAAGAAAAACAAAAATTAGGGTCTACAGCAGATAATCCGCAGCTACGTCATCTAAAACAAAGGATGTTAGAGCTTCTCTCTGAAATAAATACACTATATGACTTTCATCCTGATATTTGCCCCAATTTTTAGTCTTGATGTGTCAATGCTGAAGTGCATTAAACTGCAGATTTAGGGCAGTCGGAGTTGACAGATTTCACAGAAAAGACATCGGTCAATAACGTGAGATTAAATATATTTGTGTTATTTAACTGTTTTTATTCATTATACAGGAATGGGCTATATGCACGCATAAGTTCCGCATTTGACGTAAGGATGCTCGTCCATTTCCGGTTGTGTAGATTAAAGCGGAGGAAAACCGGAGAAAACGGGATTATGGCAGAGTCTTCAATATTTACTGTCCTCCCGTCTTTGAAACGAAACGTACATACGTTTAGATGTCATTTTATATATAGTTATGTTTATTTAATATAATTTTATAAAGAAGCATAAACACAACGAGGGGTGTCTGTTTTATCTGTTTTTGTGACTAACGTTTCATTAGTATAATCATGGAGTATAAAATTCAATATAAATTCTCGGTATTGCATTGGACTCTACGATCGAGCATCCTTAATCCTTCACCGGAAATAACGCCGTGCATAGAGTCCATACTAAATCTGTTTTGTGCAAGTGAGATGAGTAAATGCTTGAAAGAAAAAAACATCAAAAAAAGAAATGGCTGAATTGTGGTCATTGGACGAAGTTGGTTACTGAGGGACGGATAAATTATAACGATCAGTCTATAACACCATCAACTTTGAAGTGGTACTAACTGCAGTGGAAAAGCAAACCGAGCTAAAGCGAATCGAGCTGTGCCGAACCGAGTCGTTCCACACTGTGGAAAAGCGAAGCGAGCCGAACCGTACCGAGCCGTAACAAATCGTACCATGCAGTGGAAAAGCGGCATAAAGTGCTAGGGGATTTTACAATTAGTCTGGCAACACACCAGGGATTAATAAGGGTGAGAACATAGATGGACAAGCACATTTGTGGTGAGTAAGTGCTCCTGCCTCTAAAAGCAGAAAATGAAAAAAAAAAAGACCCTGAACAGAGCTGCACATCTAATGCTTCAGTTTCAGTCAAATGAGAGCAAACAGGCACTGATTAAGACCAGAAGACACATGTTCCCTGCTGAAAAATACAGCATAAACCAGGGGTTTTGTTTCCCGAAAGCATCGTTAGCCGACTATTCTCGCAAGTTTTGTCGTTATCAGCGTAGGGCAACAAGTCTGTGTTTCCTGAAACCATCGCTCTAGAAACATTTTTAAACACCATTGCAAAGTTGTGTGGCTTGATTGACCTGTGGTTAAAATCTGAGTTTCTTGTTTGCATGTGGACTTAATTAATCCTTGTCTTGAGCAAAATAAGCAAGTTGACATTAAACTGTATCTTTTATTTAGAATACATTATTTAGTCTTAGGCCATCAATGTGAACTTACATTTACGAGTAATTTAAATCATGTTTCATTTGGACTTCTCTGTGCATGCTCTTTGAGGTGGTGACCATAGACCTCCATTATATGACTGATAGACAAGAACGGTTTGACCTAAAAATATCAAAATTGAAACTACTGCAGAAACAAAGACACCTACATCTTGGATGCCCTTGAGGTAAGGTAAAACATAGCAAAAATTTATTTCAAAGTGAACTTTTCCTTTAAATCTCAATCAGATTCATTAAAGAAAGTTATAACTCCACCACCTGCGTGACATCATTAACCAACGTGGTTGAACGACAAAATTGTGACAATATGGTTTCGGGAAATAGTCAGTATAGTGCTGGCCCAGTACAGTCCTGTCTCCGCTTTCAAAAGATCTGTACATAAATCAGTTAAAAAGAGCTTGTGTACACTCACTGCAACTACGGAAGTTGTAGTTGTTGTGTTTCTGCTCATCTCATCTCTTCTCTTCTTTTTCTTTTTTATGTTCTTGTTGTTCCTCTTATCTTCAGTGGTTCAAGCAGGTGTTCATCACTAATGCTTAATAATCACTTGTAGAGTGAATCTACTTAACCCTTGTGCTGCATTAGATTTTTAACACCGTTGAGTGCATTAAGGACCAAAAATGGCCATATTAAACATTGCCTAAAATATTATATATTATTATTATTTTCCACTTTTACCAAGTTAAATCTTTTAACCAGCATCAGTCCTCATCATAACTACCAAAAATGTATTCAATTTCAGGATTTTAACCCTTTAATTACCAGTTTTGTTTGCGAAACCATCGATTTGTATAAGAGGAAAAAACACAAAAATTCAATTATTTTCAATAAACTAAATGCAAAGTGAAAACTTTAGATTTGGATTATCACAGTCCCACTTTGCAAAAAATCCCACTTAGCGCGTTAGAGACCAAAAATGGCCACTTATTAAACATTGCCTATTGCCTAAAATAAGGTGCATTTCCACCCATAGGGAATAAATATGTAGTGACGTCATCTGGTGGAATACACTATATAATGCAAATATAATGCTTTTGCTTCAAAATGAAAGGATGTTTGTGCAAAAATCATGTTTCATGTATTACTGACAGCCTCAGATTTAAACAACGTTTTAATGGGTTTCAATGGGCCATTTTTGGTCTTTATGGTGCTGAGTGTTACTATTTGATCTACACAGTGTGTGTTATACATATTTTGCAAAATGGGATCACATTTTTTACATGTATCCAAAAAGTCACAATTTTGCCAAATTTCATACCATTTGCATTAAAACAGCCAAAATGGTCAAAGAAATAAAACTGCAAAAGACCAAAAATGTCCCTAATGCAGCATAAGGGTTAATTTCACTCACTGTTACATTGCTTCAGTGTTACTTTTACTCTCTATAGATTGGGACCATATGGAAACTGGAAAGTGTCTGTTTAACACGGAGGATTTTGCTGCCTTTTTTCCTAATCAAATAATTAATTCAAATTTATTTGTAAAATTGTCTTGGTCATGTTCTAACTACAAACACACTAAGAAAAGTGATATGTAACACATTTTGTTGTGGTATTGCTGGGATCATTCCAGTTCCCAAAAGATAATATCCCACCAGCACACCAGCAAAAAGCATCCCATTCTGGGATCCAGAAAACCAACAGTATCCCATGCTGAAACCATACCTTGTGCGGCTGACCAGCAATGCTGGATTTTTCAGCAGGGTTGTTGGGATATCCTGTTTGACAAGCAGTTTGTGATCGAATTAGGCTAAATCTAGACTGTTTATGTGCGTGTGACTTGTATGTGAGTGTGTACATGTGCTGACTCACAAAGTGAAAATGAAGCAGACAATGGTGGAGATGAGGATGAGGACTTGATTGGACATGGCGGACTGTGTTCTGTGAGTAGCACGATGAAGATCATTCTGAGAGCCAAAGAAAAACCAATGATGGAATTACATTGTGTTTATTGTATATTTAAATGTTTGGCTGAACTGTCTTTTTAATGTCGTCTACAGCAGGCAGACAAATAGTCTGATCAATATGACTACAGTATAACACATGCATGTCTATACTTTCTTCAAAACATATACTCACAACGATGTTTTCCAAGGCACGTTTTGCCAGCCAGCAGTTCAGAAACACAGGGATGAAGAGGTTCCGTAGAGGAGGATAGAAAATCTGTTAAAACAAAGACAAACCCATTAAACTTAAGCTTTTCACCAAAACAGACATTTAATATGTAAAAATAAAGTAAAGTAAGCTCTAAACACATATCAGCCAAAAGGGAACACAGAAGGTCTAATCTTCCAAATTTAATGTTTTATGCAATTGTTTCAACAACATATGTATGTTTAAAAAAATGTAAACAAGTTGCTATATGTGCTGTAAAATGCTATTTGGTTTCTATGGTGTTCAGCTATGGTGTTGAGGGAGGTTGTGTAGTGTGGTAGATTATGATAAAGCAATAGATTAATACTTAAAAAAGTTGAACTTACTCCAATCACAAATGGCACTGTGTCAATCATTTCCAAGATAAACGCTATTTGAAGAACCTGTTGCCATATGTTCCCCTAGATTGTTAGAGAGATAAACAAACAGAATTAACACAGATGGTTTCAATAGTTGCATGAAAAATATATCAGCAGATTGATTCTTTAGGGTCATTGTTTTGATATAACTAAAAATGTATACCTTGTATCGTAGATATGTCAGCAGGATTCTTATGAATAAACATATGACTGCAACAGACACCTAAAGAAAATAGCTATTTGTTAAAATACATCAATACATTTATATTAGTTCCATAACACAAACCTTTCACAAAATAAATAAAATCAATTCTAAAAATTGTGGATATTATGAGATTTATCTGCAGAACTACCTGAACAGCCCAAAGCGTTTGATTTCGTTCAACCCAAATAATTGAGGCCCTGGTAACAATAAAGGGGTTATTAACATGGTGCAAATAAATAAATCAGAGCAATTTTATATAGAATTATTTCTGTCTTGTTTTTGGTTTGTTTGGAAATACATACCAGTTGATTTCAAACAGGGTATAATTTTTGTGTGCGCAGCCCAAGCTGTGAGTAGAGGAATTGCATTATTTTGAAGCAGATATCATTACGGAACAGTCATTTTATAGAAGTATAAACTGAATAAAAATGTTCTACAAATCCTCATATAAAAAAGTTACTTTTAAAAAATGAAGCAAGTTATTTATTTTCTAGTTTTGTTATACAAACTCATTCTACTTGGGCCAGTATCATAAATGCAGTCTGCTTTCAAACACAATCATCATTAGAAGCATGTAGGGAATTGACTATAAGAGACAAGAAATTAGAGACTGTGGTGCCTTTATGAGTGGTATTTTTCAGCCCATTACTGATCAGAGTCTGACACACATTTTTTTCTAAACACATTTTCCTTTAACCCTTGTATTAATCTATTAATGCTTCTCACACATTACAATATATATATATATGAATGTAATATTTTTAAAACTGTATGTAACAAAAATGCACAAAAGTGCCTCCCAAATGTATGAATGTAAATGTAAATACTCTCAGAGGATAGTTGAGAAACTGATATATATATATATATATATATATATATAAATTGGTGTCTGTGCAGCAGGGGTCAAATTGACCCACTCGCATTAAAAATGTCAGCAATTTTGTAGACACATTCCACAACACCTGAGTGTCAAAACTTTGCAGGCATGTTCATAACCCTAAATGAGTGACTTATTTTGTCACTTATTTGGAATTAGTATGCCACTGCAACCAAAGACTACAACCATTTACATCCAGTCTTTGTGCTGCTAGGCTGGCGATGGGTGCGTCAGACAGAGTTAGCTACAGCACGCACAGAGATGAAAAAGGTATGTATGGACTTTTCTAACTCTGGGGGATATGGTGAATAAGCTAAAGTCCCAAAAAGTCGGAGTGTTCCTTTAAGGGAACCATCTCATTTGGCTAAGGGCAAGCATTCCAAAGTTTCTGTCCATCAAACAATGAATAATATCTACAGTACCATGTGTGTTGATCTTCTTCGTCACACATCACTCTGGCTATATACAAAATGCAGCTTAACACCTTGAGCGAAAGATAAAACAATCGCACCCTGAGACCTGAGGAATAAAAATAGAGTTTATAAAACATTTTAGACATAGTAGGCTAGTACAAAAGAAGTTTCATGCACTCAACAAGTATAAATATGGAACATATCACACATTTTAAACTAATAAGTAGAACTACATTTAATTGTAAACCAGTATGAAATTCGAAACGCATTTTCCTGGACTAATGTTCTTAAAAATATATTCATTTTCAAAGTATCTATTTTTTATTATTATTATTATTATTTTATTAATGTGTTGAATTTATGAGATGTAAACAAGAAAGAATTCATTTTAGCATTTGTGATTGAAACAGAGAAATAAAAAAAAAACCCAGACATACTCGATCGTTGGTTTTTGATGAAGTAAAACTGGAGGCGTTCTTTGAAACTATCCTTACTGGATATGGCAACCTGCACCCTATGCGGCAAAACACATGGATGAGAATGACTGATGAAATAAAAGAAATGAATCTTTTCCATCGATAAAATTCTTTTATAAATAAGATGAGGAGGAAATCCAGTCCAAACGTTTTGCAAATCTCAAACATATAGGCTAGTGGGATTTTCGGTTTAAAAATTACAAGACCCCAACTTGAATTCCCCAATTTCAGCCATTACCACCACTGGTTGCACTCCATCACACTGGAGTTATTGTATAGCCTACTGTTTTTGAACACCATCAATAACTAATTGTCACAGTATAGAACGGACAAGGGCAAGGCATAAACTTCTACTGTATAGGTCCAAAATTAGCTTACACCAATGCTTATTTTGTATGTTGGTTCAAATGGTCTTAAAACATATAAGGACATTTAATTCATTCACTTACTTGGCACCATTTTGCCGTGCATGCTCTCGAAGTAATAAATCCCTGAATCTGTGTTTAAGAGGCAGGGATGCCACTTCGTTGTCACCATCAGCCATGTTTTGCTAAAAGCTCAAAAAACTCCTTACAAGATCACGACAACGTTGTATAAGCCTCAGGGGTTGTTTTTCCTTCAATTGTCCAGCTGCAAAATAATATCAAAGTGGGATTCCTGATTCGCTCCCTTCGTCTCTCTTCCTTGAGTTCCCTCACGAAACGCTCACTGACTGATAGACAGACTCAATGACTATAATTGATGTCATTATGTCAGCGGCTTCCCCTCAGCATCAGCGTCTTCTCTCACGCGTCACTAGCCTACTGCACATCAATTCACCGCTTAAACAATAAAGCATCGGCCAGAGATCTTTGCGCATGTATACAATTAAAACGGTTCCAACAAATGAAACCACTAGCCTAGTATGTGGCCACAGAATTCAATTAGGCGAACACAGAAGCGAGCTCTTGTCCAACACTCAACCACTCAACCCTGTTAACCGACACATTTATATTGTAGTTTATTTTAGTAGCCAATTATTTTAGTTGTACATACATACAATATAATTGGTTGTATGTAGCCTATGTGTGTGTGTGTGTGTGTGTGTGTGCGCGCGCGCGCGTGTATATTTGATTGATTTGCTTAGGCCTTTTATGGTGCCCAGCCCTCATGGGCTTAGGCTTATTAGACACTACAGCTTCACATAAATACCCTGACATAAGACAGAGTCCAACATAGCATAACTAAACCACTTAAAAATAAAAATATAATATACAAATAGAGATGACTTTTCATACGGGATACAAAATACTTGCCGTAAATACCAGGCTTTTTCTATAAATTTTGCCAAAGCAAAAACATGATTTTCAAACAGCCAGCACAAAATCTCCCCTTCATATTTCCAAAATATATCAGGATTTTTTTTAACTGAATTAATTCAAAAAATGAGTTCCTTAAATTGTAATATAAAGGACAATAAAAAAGTGAAATTCATCTTCCACAACCGTGAGATCATAATCTGGGTTTCCCCATGCCTTCCCGCAGCGCGATTTTATTCACGCTGAAAGGCATGGATACCGTGGCCCAGATTTTCGCCTAGTTTAGGGAACCAATCAGAGAACGGGGAGGGAGCAGCAAGACGGTGACGACATGCGACACACCAAAGCAGTTTGTTTATCTATGGATTCAACATGGCAGCAGACGCGAAGCTACCTTTTGATGCAGCCTTAGATATTGTTTTAAGTAGTTTAGAATGCAAGTTTATTTTGAAAAAAGAGCAGCTTTTGGCGTTAAACTTCGCGAGGCCCCAGTCGTTATTGTTTTCTCGTCATTAATCGCCATAATGGAGGACCAGGTACAGGAGGCGGTCAACCTTGAAATATCAACCTTGGAATGTGTCCCGAGAAAGAAAATGCGATAAGAATTTTCGATACCAACTTCTGTTCGGCAGTCCCGAGGCCTAGATGAGCTCAAGTGTCTTACCAACCTGCTAATCATCGTCGTCAACGAAGTCCATTTAACTTATAAATGGTAAGTGGTATTTATTAATATCATATTGTCATTATCCCTGTAAGTTAGACCTACTGTGGTTGTCACAGTGACACTTACAAAATCAGCAGGGGATAATTATTTTCAGATAATTATTTTCTCCACTGTATAGCGTGGTTGTGTTTTGTCGATTAAATGTTTGTTAATTGTTAATATATTGAATGTCCTCATTTTATGAACTGATTATTTGAACAATTTGATAGGCTGTTGACCATCTTGTTTGCTAGCATTTATATTTAACATTATAATCCATTTCTCATAATGGCACTTCTTTCTCAGTCATGCCAACTGTTGAAGAGCTTTAGGAGTTTGTCCACAAGGAGGCAGCGTAACTTTTTCTTTTAACTTAAAACAAACTGCGCTTAAATCATGTTTTTTCATGGTTTTTCCACACTCCTCAGTTTATCAAAGAAGGATTTCATGCATTTGGTTTGCCCATGTCTTCTATTCCACATTTCCATGCATGCGTGTATTGGGTTCATAGTATGAACTGGATAATGATGAAAACAACTAGGTAACATATGTAATGTAATGTGTTGTGTTTATAAGAAGATTGTGAGCTTGAGGATGCTGTACTCTTTATCATTTTCTTTTGATATTCTGTAGTTGGGGTGGGGGAGAGGGGTGGTCTGGCATTACTGTATTTCTTAATTCAAAAGAATGGTGCTTGCTTAGTGCAACTAACATGCTATGCTAAATATGGAGAAATACTGCTTTTGAATGGACATTTTCACATTAGAGATGATACTGCTTTTTATGAATCCTAGAAATAAGTTTTTTTTTTTTTTTTTGGATGGTCCCTTTAACACATTTAGTTGAGTATAAGTAACATTGTGCCTACTTGTACATCTAGAGTGTTAGTAGTAGTAGACTGGTAGGGTTAGGGATAGAATATTTTGACATTTAGTTGCAAAGTGAATTATAGTCAGTAAAATGTTTGAGGATCATCACAATAAAGAGTTGGCAGATATCCATTTACATTATATATAATATACCATATACATTATAATATACATTATAAACAAACTAAAGTTAAAAAAGTAAAATCATACTCAACCAACACTTTAATATACTGTGTGTTTGAATAAATCTACAATGAAAAAAAAGTTAATTCAACCACTTTGGTTGTTTCAAAATGGCAACATTAGGCTGTTCATTGAAACTCTATGCCCCGCTCTTTCATGTGGTGAGAGTTTCATTCAGGGGTGGTTTGTGGTTGCACAGATGATATGATTAAAAACATCATAATATAAGCGTATGGTGAGGATCATGAGGCCAACCAGTAAAATCAGAACACGATATGTTTATTGCAGGAAGTATTGTATGTACATGCTATCACAAAGAAGCACACAATATATATTTACAGTAGAAATGTTGCACGGTGGATCACTATTGGGCATAACAACTGCATAACGTTGAAGTTATGAATATATCTTTGCTTTGAGATATTTAATAGACTCACAACACTCCTGCTGATTAGGAATTTTATGTGCAGTAAAAAGACAGACCTACTTACTGTCATGCAAGAGCCAATGTGACTTTGTAAACACTGATGCAACAATCACCAATAGGGTGACATCACTTAATAGTTGATACTGATACAAATCACAACAGAACAGAAGAAGGTTTCTGTAAAATGGAAAAACAACTCTGTACCGACAACAATGCAACAGATAGGTGTGCCCATGCAATGGTCAAACAAATGCTTTGAACTGTAGTTCACTGTTAATATTCAACATAGATTTTAAAAAGTAGCTTGGTTTTACTTGCATTCATGCAGTTCACTGAGGAAAATGCTTTACAGAGAATGATGAAACAACTGATTTAAATCTCAAACTGCTGGTGTACAGTTGTCTGGTCTTTACCATTCATTGGGTATATCTGATCAAATAAAAGATGTAGGCCATTTTTAAAAGACAGATATTAGAATTGTCCATCACTCTTACTTCAAGTGGGCACAAGGTGAATTTTGTTATTCAGAAAAGCTGTAAATAAATGTTTTGTATATTTTAGTGATTTACAATTGATTTTAAAACATAGGCAAGAATGGGGTAAGACGAGCCAGTTTTCATATGTCAGCACAACTAATAATAATTGATTTGATGAGAGCATTTTGGGCCATTGAAAAATTATCTCTTACAAGCTCAAAGTGCCTTAAAGCAATTTCCCCCACACAGTAGTAAGTATTTCAATGTTAATATTTAGCCAATTTACTGATACATCAACCAAGTCCACAACTTGTATGATATGCAGATTTGTCACCACATGGGAACATTGCAAGGGCTATATTTTAAATCAGTTACACAAATGCTTGTTTTCTGGTAAAATGTTGGTTTCAAATACCTATAGTTCAAACTTGTATCAAGTTCTTTGAACAACCTTTTTCCTGGGAAATGATAGTGGAGATATACCATAAAGCCAGCCTATACAATGATGTCTATACAACAATTATAACTACACATTGACCTTCAAAATTGATGAATAATAAGCCTGCCCTGAGAATGATTTACTGGAGTAAAAAGAGTGACAGCTAGGGTTATGATGGTGTGCTCAATTCCATCACAAAAAGCCAAATATTAAACCTTAAATTATCCAGCGTGGGGTCTCATCTTACCCCACTCTTTCCAACTGTGCCTTGTGAAGGTATTCAAACCCTTAAAATGAAGTCTGTCATTTGCTGAATTAAAAACTTAAAATAAAAATATTGACAAACTAATTAGAGCCAGACCGATATATTGGCAGGCCGATATTATCGGCCGATATTAGGCATTTTCCAAATTATCGGTATCGGCAGTTATAATGGCCGATAAATGAATATTTTGTATCATATTTTGATAATGAATATTTTAACAAAATTTGTGACTATCATGTCCAGTTTTGCTGCTGTTAAATAAGCCGAGAATGAAACAGAATTAGCTAGTAATAGTTACATTGTTGTTACAGTGTAGTCCTTTTAACTTTCGACAATGTGACTGAAGTATTTCTTTGATAGCGCGTGACAGTTATAGCAATGAGACGTATCATCTCTCCTTGGCCTGTTATATTGAAAATGTATGTACAATTTGTTGTGCTTTTCTGAAATAATAATTAAGAAAATATATCGGCCGATATATCGGAATATCGGATTTTAAAACCAATAAATATTTGTATCGGTATCGGACTTCAAAATTCTTTATCGGTCGGGCTCTAAAACGAATGCATAAAAATATCAAGCTTGAAACTGAAAATTAAAGGGGTTTGAACACTTTTGCAAGGCACTGTGGTTTAATTTCAATTGAAAACAATTTGCAAATCATTTTTTTTACATAAACAAAACTTGAGAAAGTGTTTTACTTGTTATGTATGCAAATATATTGAAAACTTTAAGTAAATAAGTGCAAACATAAGGCTAAAGGCCCATGCACACCAAGAACAATAACTACAATGATACCTATAAAGTTTGAATCATTGTTCAAATTCTATGATAATATCAATGATCAGAGCTAGAACATTAACGGCAGAGGAATGATATTGGAATCACTTTAAGAACAATTTTTCCCCCAGCTGATAAACAATTGTCCGAATCCACCCGACTTTAAGGAGCTGGAGTATTTAAAGCATCAGGTGACATAACTGCAGCACTCGCACATATTACACAGAAAGTTATCATTAGGTGTTGGTGTGGAAGCCAATTATTGTTACAGTTAACTTTCTTGGTGTGAACAGGCCTTTCAAACAGAGAATCTGTCATCTCAGAAATCCTACTGCAGTGATCTAGTTTTGTGAGTATTGTGTTAGGCACTCTTTCCTGACAAATT